ATTTCAGGTCCAAAGTCACTGTCTGACCACTTTTACCAATCAAAAGGGGTGCGGTCAAAAAGGGATTGAAATCAAATGATACGAGCCCTTTATCTTTCAAATACTGACAACTACCAGTACCTTATAGTCGTTTGTAGCCAACTAGTCTTCCCCCATAATAAAGATTAAATTACATGACAGTAGAAAGTGGACCGTGTTGTAGCAGCAGATGTGTTGCAGTTTGCAGAATGTTAAATAATAGGGCGCGCGCGCATAATTTCAAAACAGTTCCCAACATGGGAAATGAATACGACATGCGCGTGCCCTCTGTCCGGGGTCATAGCTAGGAGGGATCCAGCTTTTGTTAAATTAACGTCAGATTTGACTTTTCGTAGCAGGTTAGAACTTACGCAGCAGGTTAGGAGAAGTCACCTAGTAGGTTAGGATAATTAGGTTATGGCTAGCTAAAATGTAACAAACAAACATCAACTTTTGATGTTAATTTGACAAAAGCTGTATCCTTTCTAGCCATGACCCCTGTCTGGTCCAGACGAATGACAATATCGTGTGAGATGCAATCATGTACCCAAGTTACCTGTTCCACGTAACCTGTTTAAACTGTAGGTTCTGTTATTTTCCCATGGCATGAACAACTCATGGTCATTGATTACATTTAATTACTTAACTTATTTTTTTCCCTGACATGACACCACGTAACGTTATATCTTATCAGTGAACTATGCATAATACAGTTTTAGTTTAGCAGCTAGCAAACACATTCTGCTTACCTTGGGCAAGTCGCGGAGTTGGTTAGCGTCCAGCAAAAGTTCCTCCAAACTCCGACTGTAGCGGTAGATCTCATCCGGGACGTACAACAGAGAGCAGTGCCGCTTATCGATCAATTCAACATGACGGTTGCACCGCCACAGAGGTATACAGTGAAACATTACGGGGTGATGGTAAAATCCGTTCTTATCAAATATCCCGTATAGACGTCCAATGAAAGAAACGGAAGGCGCAACTGAATACGGTCACCTAGCTACTAGATGGCTTGCCAAACACCTTCTTGCAGTTGTTCGAAAGAATTTCCAAAGCAAACAAATATCGAAACCACCTCCCCAGGCGTAAATAAATTGCACTGGGCACCATGCAATAAATACGCTGTCTAGCGTTCTCACTTTCAATACTTTGTAGGCTTGGTTTTTTATTCTTTACTCACGTCGCCTCTGGAATGTTAGTTTTTCTAATCGGCTACCGAAACCGATCACATCTCTGTTAAGATAGGTCTTATTTCGCGTAGTTTACTGTTTTCCTTGTCCCAGAGTTAATTTCCTCTCAGTCCAGGGGTGTACTCATTCCGCCAATTCTGTTGCCAAATGTTTCTTAAACGGCAGCAAATGAAACGAAACGGGCGGGACTTAGCTGGATTTGTCCAATAGAAATTCTCGTTTTAGTTGCAAAACGTTCCGTTTTGCAATTGTTTGGACTAATGAATACACCCGTTTCTGACCCGGAACATTCACTCACTCGTTCTAATCTGACGTCACCATTCCTAACTGCTCCTCCCTTTGTATTTCACTCCCTCCCTCTGGAAAAGTAGAAGCCAGAGAGAGGATCTAGATAGGCGACTGATTAATTCTTCAGTTGGCCTACTGTACCTCAGCGTTATTTTAGCCTGAAATAGCCTACAATTATACATATATATATTGTCCTTTTTACTCTGTTCTTAATACAGTTTTTTCTGGATTTATACTTAAGAGTAGGTAGCACACAAATAACAAATTGACACTGCTTTGTTTTGATCTCAAATATAAACGTCTTTATGGGGCAGCTGTCAGAAATGTACATGTAAACCTGGGGTGCGTTCAGTTTGGTTAAACGTTTGCTACATTGCGTGACAGTTTGTAGCCTACTGAATGACACTTTCCCCAAAAACGGTGCGCACTGTTCTTCAACAGCCTTTGAGGTAGGCTTATGTTTGCTCCCGTTTGATCAGTGTGGCCTTATCAATATGGGTGTGACCATTAGAAATCGCAAAACTCATACACAATCGCCCTCAAGGCCACCATAATCACGCAGTTCTTCACTGGTCGTTCAGTACAGTACCGGTTCCATTGAATTAAACACTGAACACAGTTGGCGTACTGAATGCACCCTAGAAGTAGGTCCATCCACCAAAAGCAATGAATACAAATACAGAACCCATTTTTAAAATAGTGTGGGCGTACAGTCTGAACTAAAGTCATCGCTTGCCTTTATAGGTCAGGATTAATCAGTCTTCACTTGGTGAACATCTAGGTCAGTGGGTCTCAACCCTGGGGTAAGTCTACTAGTACCTGGCATACTCAAAGGTGGTACATGGGAAGACTCATAACATGGGCATTGTGATCAGTTAATGGGATACTTTGGGTAGAGCAAAATGTGATTAGGGTGTACAGCATGTCAAACTCATTCCACGGAGGGCCGAGTGGCTGCAGGTTCATTCTTCCCTTGTACTTGATGAATTAAGGTCACTAATTAGTAAGGAACTCCCCTCACCTGGTTTTTTTAGGTATTAATTGAAAGGAAAAACCAGCAGACACTAGGCCCTCCATGGAATGAGTTTGACACCCCTGGTGTTCAGTAACCAAAAATGTTGAGAACCACTGCTGTATGGTGACAAAATGATTCTTGATAATATGATGGGCATGACATACTTGCCTTTCATTTTCTTCTCTTATCCACCAAGAGGCGCTAGAACCTACTAAATGACAACACTAGCGCCCTGAAAATAACCACCATTCAAGTAACTGCTCAAATACTGGAGTAAATGAGGGATACAATGTATATTGAATGCAGGTGGTTCCACACGGGTATGGTTCCTGAAGTATGCAATTAACATGTTTAAGGTCATGTTTAAAAATGCTGGGCATGCATTTACAGTATTTTTGGTACCATCGCTACGCCACCATCGGAAGACTATGCCCCCATCCACAGGGAACAAATGGTCACTGAATGGTTTGATGAGCATGAAAAACCATATGCCATGGTCGTCTCAGTCACCAGAGCTCGACCAAATTGAACACTTATGGGAGAATCTGGAGCGGGGCCTGAGACAGCGTTTCCCACCATCAACAAAATACCAAATGGAATTTCTCATGGCAGAATGGTGTAGCATCCATCCAACAGAGTCCCAGACACTTGTAGAATTTAAGCTGTTCTGGCTCATGGTGGCCCAACACCCTATTAAGACACTATGTTGGGGTTTCCTTTATGTTGGTAGTTAACTGCATGTCCACAAGTGGATGAAAGGCCAAAAACGATCATGCATGGTTTTAATCATATTTAATAGTGGAATTCACTCAGTGTGACAATTTGAACAAACAAATAACATTGACAACATACCCATCATTCAAACGCAGCGATTGTTTTACAAGCAGCATGGGCAAAAAAATGTATACAAAAGACGGCCCAATAGCTACACTGAGTACACAAAACATTAAGAACACCTTCCTAATATTGAGTTGTGCACCCCCCTCCCCCCTTTTGCCCTCAGAACAGCCTTAATTCGTCGGGGCATGGACTCTACAAGGTGTCGAAAGCGTTCCACAGGGATGCTGGCCTATGTTGACTCCAATGCTTCCCACAGTTGTGCCAGGTTGGCTGGATGTCCTTTGGGTGGTGTACCATTCTTGATACACACGGAAAACTGTCTGGCGTGAAAAATCCAGCAGCGTTGCAGTTCTTGATTCACTCAAACTGGCACCTACTACCATACCCCGTTCAAAGGCAAACATTTTGACTTGCCCATTCACCCTCTGAATGTCACACAAACCATGTCTCAATTGTCTCTAGGCTTAATAATCCTTCTTTAATTTGTCTCCTCCCCTTCATCTACTCTGATTGAAGTGAATTTAACAAGTGACATCAATAAGGGATCACAGTTTTCACTTGGATTCACCTGTTCAGTCTGTCATGGAAACAGCAGGTGTCCTTAATGTTGTGTATACTCAGTGTATAGTGACAGATCCAATTGTCTCAAAAAGTAAAGTAGGCCATGAGTGGACATTCGGCCTGGAATGAAGAGTAGTGGAATGAATGCACCTTTATCCACAACAGTTTCCAGCAGTCCATCCTCTTAGGGCCTTCATCTGCGCCCCATCGTTTTAAAGGCCTTCAGAGACTTTGCCATCATAGGTGCCACCCCTCAAGAGAAAAAAAAAAAAAAGTAGAACGTTAGCAACTTGACCATAGCCTGGTGTAACAAGCCTCATCTCTGCGTTCACCATTGTATTTCACAGTAAAAACAGAATGGTTAACACCGTGATCAAGCTGGTTCCACAGGCTAATTTGACCGGTCTAGGATTATGAATGGCCAGACTGATGTTTAATTCTATATTTGATCTTCACAAGTACACCTTCAGTATACCATTGGCCTGGGGTGTATTCATTACGCCGATTCTGTTGAAAAGCGTTTCTTAAACTGAAGCAAACAGAACGGGGAGGGACCTACCTGAATTTGTCCAATAGAAACTCATTTTGCTCTGTTTGGTTCTTAAAACAGTAAACAGTTGAATAAACCAAGCCTTTGTAGGACAAATAACTCATTTCTGAATTGAATGAAAGATGCTGGCATATTTCAAGGAAATCAAATACATGTAATATAGCCATTGTGAACAGACCATTTCTACTCCTACAGAGTAATTTAGCAGAGTATTTGTAGGAAGTAAAAACGTGATTTAATCCAACAGTCAAACTCACTAACTCCACTGTGGGAATGCCTGCCTTTAACACCTGCTGGTTTAAATGTCATCCTGCAATAAGGCACACGCATCCACTTCTACTACAAGTTGCTGGCCTATGACAGCTGCATGCACAAAATGGGAGGAGTACAATTTAATCCACGTATATTATTACCATTAGCCAAAAGCATCAGTCCCTGGAGTAAAAAGTTACAATTAAATGTCATTACAATTACACTATTCATGAAATCAGTAGTGATGTAACGTTAACCCATTAGGTGCCAAATGATTCTACTCACGTGTTTTTTTGCGGGAGTCTTGTGCTTGGCTGGTCCCAGAGACAGTGGTGCTAGGTTTAGGGGGCTCAACATAACAGGGTCTGGCTCTGTTTTCCTGGGCCTTGACACTAAGGAGAGGGGCAGTACATAGTGTTAATGTAGATGCCACGCTCTAACGGTTACATCCCAATCGTACACACCCCAAAATGATTTCATATCAACACACTGTTAGTGAAACTGTAAACCACACACGCACAGACAAGTAAAGGATTAACACTCAACATGTTTTTGGATTTTGAACAAGTCCGGTTTTTAAAACAGGTTTAAATAGCATCAGTTCAAAAGCACCACCAGAAACATCTAAATAAACCATGCTACAGATGGCAGAGTCAAGGCAGAGCAGGGACTATGTACACACCAGCAGTGGACATCTAACCGAAGACAAGCAGAATGAAACCAGTTTATCCAGCACTTTCCTCTGGTCTCTACTCTCGCCTAACCTCACGCAAAAGGTATTTCATCTAGCACTATCACAATCTCTAAAAGCCAGGTTATGGCTCTGCTTAGCAACCGTTGCTGGTTATTTTCATTTGGGGGAGTAGTGCGTAGACCACAGGAACAAAACGCTGTCCGTGGTCAGGCGATTTTGAGCTACAATGAAAGTACAATGACATGAGTAAACAATTTAGTAGAATGTCAACCATGCGTTATGTAGCAGAACTAGGTCCTCTATTCTAGGGAATACATTAGGCTCAAAATTGAGTTACCAATCTTATGAAATTATATTTGAAAAATTAGTTTATCAAGCCATTGACTGAAAAATAAATAACTTTAGTTAAAATTATGAATTATTCTAAGGGATAGCAACTCCATATGAAGATGTAGGATTGTCAAACAGATCAAGAATAAGGTATTTTCTGGCATATAAACTCAGCAAAAAAAGAAACGTCCCTTTTTCAGGACCCTGCTTTCAAAGATAATTTGTAAAAATCCAAATAACTTCACAGATCTTCATTGTAAAGGGTTTAAACACGGTTTCCCATGCTTGTTCAATGAACTATACACAATGAATGAACATGCACCTGTGGAACGGTCGTTAAGACACTAACAGCTTACAGACGGTAGGCAATTAAGGTCAGTTATGACACTAGAGGCCTTTCTACGGACTCTGAAAAACACCAAAAGAAAAGATGCCCAGGGTCCCTGCTCATCTGCGTGAACGTGCCTTAGGCATGCTGCAAGGAGGCATGAGGACTGCAGATGTGGCCAGGGAAATAAAATACAATGGCCGTACTGTGAGATGCCTAAGACAGCGCTACAGGGAGACAGGACGGACAGCTGATCGTCCTCGCAGTGGCAGACCACGTGTAACACCTGCACAGCATCGGTACATCCGATCATCACACCTGTGGGAAAGGTACAGGATGGCAACAACTTGCCAAGTTACACCAGGAACGCACAATCCCTCCATCAGTGCTCAGACTGTCCGCAATAGGCTGGACTGAGGGCTTGTAGGCCTGTTGTAAGGCAGGTCCTCACCAGACATCACCGACAACAACGTCGCCTATGGGCACAAACCCACCGTCGCTGGACCAGACAGGACTGGCAAAAAGTACTCTTCACTGACGAGTCGCGGTTTTGTCTCACCAGGGGTGATGGTCGGATTCGCGTTTATCGTCGAAGGAATGAGCGTTACACCGAGGCCTGTACTCTGGAGTGGGATCGAGTTGGAGGTGGAGGGTCCGTCATGGTCTGGGGCGGTGTCACAGCATCATCGGACTGAGCTTGTAATCATTGCAGGCAATCTCAACGCTGTGCGTTACAGGGAAGACATCCTCCTCCCTCATGTGGCACCCTTCCTGCAGGCTCATCCTACATGACCCTCCAGCATGACAACGCCACCAGCCATACTGCTCGTTCTGTACGTGATTTCCTGCAAGACAGGAATGTCAGTGTTCTGCCATGGCCAGCAAAGAGCCCGGATCTCAATCCCATTGAGCACGTCCGGGACCTGTTGGATCGGAGGGTGAGGGCTAGGGCCATTCCCCCCAGAAATATCCAGGAACTTGCCGGTGCCTTGGTTGAAGTGTGGGGTAACATCTCACAGCAAGAACTGGCAAATCTGGTGCAGTCCATGAGGAGGAGCTGCACTGCAGTACTTAATGCAGCTGGTGGCCACACCAGATACTGACTGTTGCTTTTGATTTTGACCCCCCCTTTGTTCAGGGACAAATTATTCAATTTCTGTTAGTCACATGTCTGTGGAACTTGTTCAGTTTGTGTCTCAGTTGTTGAATCTTGTTATGTTCATACAAATATTTACACGGTAAGTTTGCTGAAAATAAACAGTTGACAGTGAGAGGACTTTTTTTTTGGTGAGTGTGTATGTATATATAAATAAACAAACCAGTCAAAAGTTTGGACACACCTACTCATTCATTTTTTTTTGTGAAGACATCCAAACTATGAAATCATGTAGTAACTAAAAAGGTCTTAAATCAAAACATATGTTATATTTGAGATTCTTCAAATAGCCACCCTTTATGACAGCTTTGCACACTCTTGGCATTCTCTCAACCAGCTTCACATGGAATGCTTTTCCAACAGTCTTGAAGGAGTTCCCACATATGCTGAGCACTTGTTGGCTGCTTTTCCTTCACTCTGCGGTCCGACTCATCCCAAACCATATTAATTGGGTTGAGGTCGGGGGCTTGTGGAGGCCAGGTCATCTGATGCAGCACTCCATCACTCTCCTTGGTAAAATAGCCCTTACACAGCCTGGAGGTGTGTTGGGTCATTGTCCTGTTGAAAAACAAATGATGTCCCACTAAGCCCAAACCAGATAGGATGGCGTATCACTGCAGAATGCTGTGGTAGCCATGATTGTTAAGTGTGCCTTGAATTCTAAATAAATCACAGACAGGGTCACCAGCAGAGCACCCCACACCATAACACCTCCTCCATGCTTTACGGTGGGAAATACAAATGCAGAGACCATCCGTTCACCTACATCGCATCTCACAAAGACACAGCAGTTGGAACCAGAAATCTCCAATTTGGACTCCAGACCAAATTCCCACCGGTCTAATGTCCATTGCTCGTGTTTCTTGGCCCAAGCAAGTCTCTTATTGGTGTCCTTTAGTAGTGGTTTCTTTGCAGCAATTCGACCATGAAGGCCTGATTCACACGGTCCCCTCTGAACAGTTGATGTTGAGATGTGTCTGTGACTTGCACTCTGTTAAGCATTTATTTGGGCTGCAATTTCTGAGGCTGGTAAATCTAATGAACTTATCGGTCCTCATGAGAGCCAGTTTCATCATAGCGCTTGATGGTTTGAGACTGCACTTGAAGAAACTTTCAAAGTTCTTGACATTTTCCGTATTGACTGACCTTCATGTAAAAATACCTATTTAGTAAAAGACCAAGTAATGGACTGTCGTTTCTTTGCTTATTTGAGCTGTTCTTGCCATAATATGGACTTGGTATTTTACTAAATAGGGCTCTCTTCTGTATATCCCCCCACCTTGTCACAACACAACTGACTGGCTCAAACGCATTAAGGAGGAAAGAAATTCCACAAATTAACTTTTAACAAACCACACCTGTTAATTTAAATGCATTCCTGGTGACTACCTCATGAAGCTGGTTGAGAGAATGCCAAGCATGTGCAAAGCTGTCATCAAGGCAAAGGGTTGCTATTTGAAGAATCAAAATATATATTTTGATTTGTTTAACACTTTTTTGGTTACTACATGATTCCATGTGTTATTTCATAGTTTTGATGTCTTCACTATTATTCTACAATGTAGAAAATAGTACAAATAAAATAAAAATGCTGGAATGAGTAGGTGTGTCCAAACTTTTGACTGGTACTGTGTGTATGTATATATATACACAGTGAGGGAAAAAAGTATTTGATCCCCTGCTGGTTTTGAAAGAAATTATCAGTCTATAATTTTAATGGTAGGTTTATTTGAACAGTGAGAGACAGAATAACAACAAAAAAATCAAGAAAAACGCATGTCAAAAATGTTATAAATTGATGAGGGAAATAAGTATTTGACCCCCTCTCAAAAGACACCTGTCCACAGAAGCAATCAATCAGATTCCAAACTCTCCACCATGGCCAAGACCAAAGAGCTCTCCAAGGATGTCAGGGACAAGATTGTAGACCTACACAAGGCTGGAATGGGCTACAAGACCATCGCCAAGCAGCTTGGTGAGAAGGTGACAACAGTTGGTGCGATTATTCGCAAATGGAAGAAACAAAAGAACTGTCAATCTCCCTCGGCCTGGGGCTCCATGCAAGATCTCACCTCGTGGAGTTGCAATGATCATGAGAACAGTGAGGAATCAGCCCAGAACTACACGGGAGGATCTTGGCAATGATCTCAAGGCAGCTGGGACCATAGTCACCAAGAAAACAATTGGTAACACACTACGCCGTGAAGGACTGAAATCCTGCAGCGCCCGCAAGGTCCCCCTGCTCAAGAAAGCACATATACAGGCCCGTCTGAAGTTTGCCAATGAACATCTGAATGATTCAGAGGAGAACTGGGTGAAAGTGTTGTGGTCAGATGAGACCAAAATCGAGCTCTTTGGCATCAACTCAACTCGCCGTGTTTGGAGGAGGAGGAATGCTGCCTATGACCCCAAGAACACCATACCCACCTTCAAACATGGAGGTGGAAACATTATGCTTTGGGGGTGTTTTTCTGCTAAGGGGACAGGACAACTTCACCGCATCAAAGGGACGATGGACAGGGCCATGTACCATCAAATCTTGGGTGAGAACCTCCTTCCCTCAGCCAGGGCATTGAAAATGGGTCGTGGATGGCTATTCCAGCATGACAATGACCCAAAACACACGGCCAAGGCAACAAAGGAGTGGCTCAAGAAGAAGCACATTAAGGTCCTGGAGTGGCCTAGCCAGTCTCCAGACCTTAATCCCATAGAAAATCTGTGGAGGGAGCTGAAGGTTCGAGTTGCCAAACGTCAGCCTCAAAACCTTAATGACTTGGAGAAGATCTGCAAAGAGGAGTGGGACAAAATCCCTCCTGAGATGTGTGCAAACCTGGTGGCCAACTACAATAAACGTCTGATCTCTGTGATTGCCAACAAGGGTTTTGCCACCAAGTACTAAGTCGTGTTTTGCAGAGGGGTCAAATACCTATTTCCCTCATTAAAATGCAAATCAATTTATAACATTTTTGACATGCGTTTTTCTGGATTTTGTTGGTGTTATTCTGTCTCTCACTGTTCAAATAAACCTACCATTAAAATTATAGACTGATCATGTCTTTGTCAGTGGGCAAACGTACAAAATCAGCAGGGGATCAAATACTTTTTTCCCTCACTGTGTGTGTGTATATATATATATAATGTATTTGGTAAGTAGGTATCTTTGCCACCATGGTCAATATGGGAATTAATGACAGGATGGTGGGAACAGACCTGGGCCTGTCCAGTGGGTGAGGCGGCAGTACAGCACCAGTAGTAGTTCCATGGATCTCCTGCTGGATTCGTGGATGTCTAGCAGTTCCATGGATCTCTTGCTGGATTCTCACATTTCTAGGCGGCTTGGCAACAGAGTTAATAAACGCCATTTTCACCTGCCGGCCTAGGAGTGTGAGAAACAGGAAAAACTCACTTTTAGAAGACAAATTCTTATTCCAAAACAACTAGTATTAGTGAAAATACCTACAGTAAGTAAATATGCCAACTGTGTGAGTTTAGATGATATGGTTGGAGAGATTTAAACCAAATAGCTGTTTGACCTAATAATTCAAAGAACACAATGTAAGTATATATTTTTTTACATTTTAAGGGATAATTGCACTATAGCATTTAGTTTACTGTTAGAAATGGGGAGATTGGGATTTTACAGAACCCCAGTCAGTGACGGGAAAGTCTTTTGGAACCTCTCAAATTCTACATAAAAAGGCCAGCCGAGGCCATGACAAATTGACAAGGTTTAATTTAACCCCGTAGCCAGTCTCACTTCAGATCTATTCATAGCCTCAGATGGTCAGGGGACAGATGGTCAGGTCTACGTTAACCCAGTGCCTGGCCAGCATTTAGGAGATCACTTCAAAACAACTGGTCCAACTGTTGCCCAGTCCCTTTCAACCAGAGACTGGAGTTTGTAAAGAGGACGATCTCAGTTCAAACAGAAGCATAACAACTTAACGTCAACTGAGCATGAGCACTATCCAATGGCTGATTGGAAAGACATCTATGGTTACTTTTTGACCTGTCCAAGAACTTGAATGTTAAGGATTTCCTGTGAATGATGTGAAGCGATACAAATCAACAAAAACGTGATGGAATAGCAGCTTGACACACACCTTTGGGTTTTCCTGAATGAGCAGAGACTATGGTTTTTGTCAGTCTTTGGAGCTTCCTCTCTCTTTCCTCAGATAGCCTCATGTGCATCTCTCGCCAGGACTCGTATTCCTCCAGCTGGGCATTCCTAAAGTCCCGCTGACAGTGCTTCTCCCATAAGTGATCAGTCAATCCAACATACATCTGTCAGAGAGCATAGACTGTTTAGCTGACAACATCATGAAAATGATGTGCACGATTCAATGGGGCAGAAGTCTTGTTGTGATTCTGGGTGGCCAGATAGCTAGCAACAATGAGAAGAAGCTGCCATGTGGGGAATCGTAGGTGGCTCGTTTCAGCTAGCTTTATCTTGTTCTTGATACCATGTCTTGTTTTGTGTTGACTGTCATGTCTATGCTAATTTCACAAAAATTCGCTAGCTAACCAACAACTGTACCGATGTAGGAGACAACAAGTGGTCATTATGCGCGTCAGTTTTGTTGCTGAACAACCAACCCATCTATTGGCTGATCAGTCAAAATAAGGGGTCAAGTTAGGTGATGGGAGGTCTTTCCAGCATTAACCCTTGCAGGCACAACACTTAAATCAGGCCTCCTCAAAATCAACTCAAGACTGGGATTCTTACCGGGTTGCACTCTTCAATACGAAGCAGCTGATCAGGTGTACAGCGCTCTAGTACTGGCTCAAGGATTTCAAATGGGACCCCTCCGATCTCATAGAGCACTAAGGAAAGATCAGAGCGTTAACGTTCTCTCCGTCCAAAGGACTGCCTGTGTGTGAGTGTTGAGGTTCTCTGCCTGGGCCATACTCACAGTCAATGTTGTTCTGCAGTGCCCGGATACATTGCTGGTACAAAGACATCATGGTTGGGAGAAAGGCAGACTTGGCACCAGAATAGACCTGCATCTTCCGGTTGAGTCTTTGACCAGTGAAGACCGGACCCTCAGAGACGGAGACTTTAGACTTGTCTTCCACTGAAACAAATTAAAGTATAAAACCCAGCAAATACACTTTATTTTAGATTATTCAACAGGGAGTCCCATTGAGACCAATGTCTCTAACAAGGGAGCCCTGCATTTTACACAGCAAGATTAACTCAAATTAAAGTCATGACACACAACTACGTGTTCAGTGGAGTTACATTGAGCAAGCTGTGCAAACTTACAATCTACAACGAACCCTTGGGGGAAAAAACCACCACATTTGAAACTCACTTTTCCTGTCGTAGTAGTTGAAGTTGGAGAGCTCGTCATATTCAGGTAGAAATGTGGGCAATGGAATATTAAGCAAGTCCATCACAGACCCCTTCATAGCCTTAAAAAAGGATGTCCTTGATCAATGTGACATTGTTGAGTCAGAATGTCAGCACAAAACATTTTTATGAAACATTTGTAATGCATTAAAGCTCCATGCCAAATGTACCTTTTTAGGGGGTGAAAGATCTGCAGTCGCCGCAGGTAACTGCTTATTGGATTTCGTGCTGGGTGTCTTCACAACCTTTACTTCTTTTTCAACAGTCTTGAATTTCTTTGGAGTTCTTTTACTGTCAGATGTTTTCTTCCTCTTAGGTGTGTTGATGTCATAGCTTAAGAAAGACTCAAAAGACATGGAGGGCACCTCAACCTCATTCTCATTCGGCTTGTCCTCAATAATCGTCGCCATTTTCTCTTTAGTCTTCGCTTTTCCCTCATGTACAGTCTTTTTTTTGTCTTCATGGTAGACTTGCTTTCTTTCACTTGGTTTCGGCCTCTCTCCATTACAACCTAAGGAGTCACTCACTTTTTTAGCTTTTTTGTTGTCTTGGTCATTGGATTTGTCAATAACTGTCCCTTTTCTATCAGGTTTAGATTTTGAAGACTCATCGCTGGATGGTTTTGGACACTGCAGTGTTTTTCTATTGGACTCTTTCCACGTCCCACATTTCCCCCCGTTATCTGAATTGTTTTTAGATTCTTCCCTGGAAATCGACTTGGCTTTCTTGTGGCTGCTCTTAGATGTTGTGCTTCCAAGCACAACATTGTCATCTTCAGAATTTCTACTCCAATGATGATTTTTTTCAGAAACCATTAAACCCTCTCGTTTCCCCTTGTGTTTTTTCGACTCATCCTTGGAATTGTCCTTCTTCAAAGTATTCTTGTTTTCCTTCTCACTTTTAAAATGATCCTTCTTCAATTCATTTGAGTCTCCATCTACTTCCTGTAAATGAGCCTTCTCTGCAGTACCTTGGTTTTTGTCTTCAGTTTTCAAATGCTCATCTTTTACATTTTCTTGATTCTCGTCCCTTTTCAAATGCTCTTCTTTTGAAGTAGGCCCATCTTGGTTTTCCTCATCAGTTTTTAAACACTCATCTTTTGAAGCATTTTTACTTTGGTCCTCTATTTTTGAGCACGCCTCCTTTGAACAGTTTTGAATCTCCGCTTCAGTTACCAAAAGCTTGCTCTGCGAAGCATCATCCTTCTCTGTATGGCTGAATGAGGGAGAAATTCAAACACGTTAGTAATGAACACTGGACAATCATCATACAAATTATTCCAAAGCAAATGTGTTAAGTACAATACCTCAAGGTTTCTTTTGGAACCAATTTCTTCCAGTGACTGACCAATAGCCTGACGACTTCTCCTGCATCCCCATGCTTGCGCAAAGAGTTTACAGCTTTGCCGATTCCGGTCTCCTAATCAGAATTAAGACAAACATACATTCAATTGAGTACAAATTGGTGCATGCAATCCACAACTCGTCATGAGATATATATAATTATTACAAAAATGTTAAGTATAGGATTGCCTTACTGCAAGAATGCCTAGGGTTATATCCAACTCCTGTAGTTTCTTTAAGATTTTCAGGACCTGTAAAATAAACAGATGGCTATGAATAAACCAGACTGTATATGGTATAAACCTTCAGTTTACATTAGAATGCAAAATATAGTTCCCTTTTCCAAACATCGGTACACAAACTGTCCTTGCACGATTAGAATGGCCAACATTAATGTTTATCATGAATAACTACCATGGGGATCAGGCAGAGTTTGTATGACAAAGGTAATTTAAAAGAAATGTGTATGAAAGCTGAAACTGGAAAATGGAAAGATATGCCCAATATGATAATCCTTGTTTCAGTTCATTAGAAAGCAATGCTTGACTTGGGCAGGAGCTCACCAGAGCAGAGTACCCGCACCTCAAGTTTACTGCTAGAGCTCCTGTTCCTCTTTAAAATGTGGCTGCCCACGTAGGATACTGCATGTGTGCAGCCCAGAAACACAAGACACACACACCTGAAACAAGGTCTTCACATGACAGGTGGTGAGCATTTCATCTGTATTCATAATTATCTCAAACAAAACTATTCCAGTAAGTGTTTAAGCAACTCCGTGCCGAATTGACAGACAGCAGCCACAAGTTGGGCAACTGGCTGGGTTGTTAATTATAGCGCCAGAGCATATCCCATTCCCCCCCCAACACTCTCCCCCACTCCTCACTGGTTGACTAGATAGGATGCAGCTTATGTCAAAAGTGACATTTCGTAGCAGGTTAGGATAATTAACGTAGAAGGTTAGGAGAATTAGGTTAAGGTTAGGAAAAGGGTTAGGGTTAGCTAAAATGCAAAAACAATCCGACGCGACTTGAACAGGCAACTTTTGACGAGACTTTGACATTAGCTGCAGCCCTTCTAGCCATGATCCACACTCCTACCCTAATATGAAGTTGTTGCACAAATGCTCAGACACAGCAGCATCCTCAGCAGCATATAGTCAGTCACAAGAGATCCCCATGTCAACTTTAAAGTTGTTAAACTCTTTCAAACATGAGTGTCAAACAAAACAAGCATTTCATGAATGGATTTGGGGGAGCAGACCTGCAGACAGTGAATATACATGTTAAAATATAATAGGCCACGTTATTTATTTTGTAAACCTCAGTGCTTCTATCACTATCCTACTGTACAATAATTGTGATTCAGTCGAGAAGGCGAGAGGGCTATCAAATTTGAACCATTGGTGGCAACCTATTACTGTCCAGGTAATGAGTAATTGTACAATAAAGGACCGGCTTAAAACGACAGGCAATTACACTTGTTATTAGTGCGTCTAAAATACCTTCTTTGAGTCGGTCGTTTCTTTGAGCTGAAGTTTTAACTGCAACACCTTCTTCGACACATCAACGGCGTCCATCACGGCGGCTCACGTCCATTCATTCACCTGCAGACCCAAAAGCTCTATTGCGCCATGGTCACATTTTATAAGGGGCGGTGTCAAAGTGTTTTTATTAAAGAGGTATGTCCAATTATATAAATATCAATTAGTGAACGTGAGCAGATGTCAATGTCACTGTAAAAGACCCCTCTACATCAGAGCAATTATGAATCCCAAAAAACCTTCTGTATACAAATGAGCCGATTAAATTATATGGTCCTAATGTCACAAATTACACATCCATTAGACACATTAGACATCACGGTTGTCTGAAAATCTTCATCCTCATGATAATATTTTTTCTCCATATGCAATCTGAACTTCATCACTAGTCGAATTAATCACCAGATAACCATGACATCTATTCGAGGTATTAAATTGGGTTGACAATTAGGCCCTACCCCTGATAATCATGCCATAGAGATGGATTTGAATGTTGCCTATGCTATATGACAAGTTATTCAGGGTGATCCCAGCTACCATATTTCAAGTCAATAGACTAGTATTGTTAGGGTGTCTGATTGCCTGGTGAAGGGTATGGCTTCAGGGTCTTCAAACTCATGATACAGTATGTGTTCCCCTCACGCGTATTGCGCAATAATTCTATTCGCATGCTCGGAGGAGGAGTTTTCCCCGCTTTTCTGGCACTGTTGAGGATAGCCAGTTTCTCCTGCACACTATCTGGAGGTGCAAGTCTTTTTTTCACCGGCTTCTCATCTCTTTGGTAAGTAAGCCACGTTTAGGCCATATTATTCCTATGTTTGTAATGTCTTTATGTCTGTCTGTCAATGAAAAAAGTTGCCTAAATGTTTGTTAGCATGTTTGGTTTGATTTTGGCACAGTAGCCTAATGTGTAAGTTTGACACCATAGTTGTATTGTCAGTTTATTTCCATCAGATTTCAAATTAACTAGGAAAGTTTTTACTATAGGCTTATTATTTTATAGGCTATAATATATATCTGCTGACTTTTTGGATAATGTTTTGGATTTTTCGTTCAACTTTCAGTTTCTTTACATTTATCATTTCTAGAAACGTGAATTATTTAATTGATTAGTTGATCATTGGGCCTTCTTTTTTTTTAAACCTTCAGAACGTTTTAGAAGGACATTTGGCCAGGTCCTCCTGACACAAGTCTATAAAAGGAACGTCATGGGTGAGCTATCCAGCGTTGCTATTCCTGGACATGGCACTGATAAATCGCGACAGATGCAGAGAGCGGAATGTTGACTCGCTGACTTGCGCTATAGGGTCATTCTGGTATAGGCCTACTATACTGTCGTTTTAACTTATTTGATGGAAAAGCTTGGTGGTCTATAGTAATCATGTTTACGTTGATTATGTCTAACAACATTGCTTTAAATTGTTATCAAATATAAATGTCAAAAATGCAAGTAAGTTAGAATAGGCCTTCACGTGGTTAGGGAATGTAATGTCATTGTCACAATCGTCTACAAATGTAAATAAAAAATAATAAAAAATACAACGGTTTATATTTTCATTAAGGTGTTGAACTTTGGTTGCAAATTTCAAAATCTCAAAATGACAGGATAAATGTACACAAATGATTGTGTTTTCTTCCGACTGCCACTTATTCACACATTATTCAGCCACTTTGTCAATTATTCCACAACATACATTGTCAAATGGCAGCAGCAACATATATAACATGCCTAGATGCAGGACTGACATTTTCGAAAGCAGGCCTACATATAACCACAAATAAAAATAAAGCTGTAATGATTATAGCCCACTATATTACACATTTGAATTTGACAATATTTTGTGTGACAATATTTCAGTCCATTGTACATCCGTCAGATTCGTCATAAATGTATCACTTGCCATATGGTGTTGTGGTTGTGATTGTTCATATCAACAGGTTGCTCTCTTGCTCTGACATATTCTTATTTTCTTTCCAGTAGGTCTGGGCTGTGCCCCTCTGCTACAGACATGGCACCCAAAAAGAACAAGAATGCCAAAAAGAACAAAGGAGATATCAGTGAAGTAAGCATAGTGGTCGAGGATAGCCCGATCAGAAACATTAACGGGTTGAACACCTTGTTGGAGGGAGGAAACGGCTTCACCTGCATCTCAAGTGAAGTCACTGACCCTGTCTATGCTCCTAACCTCCTGGAAGGTCTTAGCACCATGAGGCAGGACAGTTTCCTCTGTGACCTGACTGTCTCCACCAAGTCAAAATCCTTTGATGTCCACAAAGTTGTCATGGCCTCCTGCAGTGAGTACATTCAGAATATCCTGAAGAAGGATTCCGCCCTCACGAAGATTGACCTCAATGACCTTTCACCCACAGGCCTGGCCACTGCCATCACATACGCCTACTCAGGGAAACTAACCCTGTCGTTGTACAGCATTGGCAACACCATCGCAGCAGCCATGTTGTTGAAGATCAACACCCTGGTGAAGATGTGCAGTGACTTCCTCATGCAGGAGCTCAGCGTGGAGAACTGCATGTACGTGGCCAACATCGCCGACACCTATGACCTCAAAGAAACCAAAGAGGCCGCCCAGAAGTTCATGAGGGGGAACTTTATTGAGTTCTCTGAGATGGAGCAGTTCCGGAAGCTCACCTACGAGCAGATCAACGACTTCCTCAGTGATGACTCCCTGCAATTGCCCTCTGAGATTACAGCCTTCCAGATAGCAATGAAGTGGTTGGACTTCGATGAAAAGAGACTGAAATACGCCCCAGATCTTCTGACCAACATCCGCTTCGGCACCATCTCAGCCATGGACCTGGTCAACCATGTCCAGAGTGTGCCCAGAATGATGCAGGACCCCGAGTGCCATCGTCTCCTGGTGGATGCCATGAATTACCACCTGTTGCCTTACCAGCAGAACATTCTGCAGTCCCGCAGAACAAAGGTGCGTGGTGGCCTCCGTGTCATGCTGACAGTGGGTGGACGACCGGCCTTGGCGGAAAAATCTCTCAGCAAAGAGGTTCTCTACAGGGATGAGGACGACGTATGGAATAGGCTGACAGAGATGCCAGCCAAGAGCTTCAATCAGTGTGTGGCAGTCCTGGATGGATTCCTTTATGTTGCTGGTGGTGAAGACCAGAATGATGCTAGGAACCAGGCTAAACATGCTGTCAGCAACTTCTGCAGGTGAGCATTTGTTTCTATATAAGCTTATTCTATTGTAAATGTATTCTTTCTGCTCTTAAAGTATGGCCGATATTACACAGACCATTACAAGATATTGTACTGTGCATTCAATTAATAATTTGTATCTAATAACATGTCTTTGTCCATTAGGTATGATCCTCGATTCAACACATGGATTCATTTGACCAACATGATCCAGAAGCGCACCCACTTCAGTCTCAACACCTTCAATGGCCTCTTGTTCGCTATTGGAGGTCGTAACTCTGATGGGTGCCAAGCTTCAATGGAGTGCTACGTGCCCTCCTCCAACCAATGGCAGATGAAAGCCCCCATGGAGATCCCCCGGTGCTGC